GAGTCACTACGTGATTCCTGGGAGTGGTACTCAGGATTCTTCTGGAAGTGTCCCCATCACGGTTTTAGTGATGCATTCACAGTGGGGAATTTCTATAGTGCTCTAACTCTAGAGAGCTAGAGAGTGATCGAATCTCTATGCCCAGGAGGGGACATTCTCACCAAGACTCCACCCGAGCTGAATCAGATGATCAGTACTCTAGCTGCTAGAGATCATTCTTGGGGGCGGAGCACTAAAGGCAGGAGCTCCCGGGATCAAGGTGTGCACTCTATGGAAGCTAGATCCGGGCTAGAGCGGGAGGTGGCCGAGCTGGTCCAGATATTAAAGCAACCCAACAGTCTCATTCCGGGCAGAGGATTGGCTGTCCATTCAGTTCCACAGTGCCAGTGGTGTGAGAGCTCTAATCACTAGGTAGAAGACTATCAGGCTATGCGGGAGTCTACTACACCCCATGAGCAGTTGGACTTCATCGCCAATGCTCGGCGCCTGGATCCTTACAGTGGAACATATAATGAAGGATGGCACCAGCATCCCAACCTCTCCTAGAACACCAACACCAGCAACACCACCAAACCTCCCAGCTTCCCAGATAGAGCAGGTGGTTTTCAGCAGAGGCAGCCCTTCCAGGCCAGACAAGGCCCATTTCCACAGCAGCAGTCCTACCAAGCTAGAAAAGGGAAACCATTTCAGTAGCAGCAGAGACAGTATGCCCAGCCGGCAGCAGCTCCAGCACAGGATGATGAGATGTCAGAGCTGAAGAACATGGTGCAGACCTTCGTGAGTGCTAGCACGTCGAATTTCGCCAGACTGGACCAGTGCATCATCTCGATGGAGGCAGGCCAGAGGAATCAGGGTGCCATACTTATGGACCTCCAGAACCATATTGGAGGCATAGCTCACCAGAACACCACTAGAGCACCAGGAACTCTGCTTGTCACCACTATTCCAAATCCTCGCGAGCGTCATCAGCAGCTCGATGCCATCACTACTAGAAGTGGCAAGACGACATCTGATATCCCTGCTTCGGCCAGGCAGGAGGAGCCATCACCTGCTTCAGCACTTCCACCTGACAAAGAAGAGGTGGGGATTGAGAAGGAAGCACCTGCTCCCAAGCCACAGCCAGTGGTTAAGGAGCATGTTCCCCCAGCTTCCCTTCCCCACTCGACTGCACAAGGATAAGCTGGAGACAAAGTTTGCCAAATTCATGGCAATGTTGAAGCAGGTCAACATCAGCCTGCCTTTCATGGAGGCACTGTCGAAGATGCCCAAGTACGCCAAGTTCGTGAAGGATCTCCTCACCAACAAAAAGAAACTTGGGGATCTCTCGACAGTGATGCCGAGCGAGGAGTGTTTTGCCATCCTACAGAAAAAGCTGCCCGAGAAGCGCAAAGACCCAGGGGGATTTACTATCCCTCTTGTCATTGGCAGCATGCATGTAGGAAAGTCATTGGCGAACTTAGGTGCTAGTATTAATGTCATGCACTATAAATTGTTTAAGAAGCTAGGCCTAGGTGAACCTAGAACTACTAGGATGAGCATTCAGCTAGATGATTATTCTATTGTTCATCCTAGGGGTATCATAGAGGACTTGCTTATTAACGTGGGTGCATTCACATATCCTATTGATTTTGTTATTTTGAATATAAATGAGGATGTGGATGTGCATAGTGACAAGTTAATCTTGCGTGCTGGGATGAACACGCTACATTTTCTATGTCCGATAATGCAAAGCATTCCCATTTTCATGATGACTTGGATTACTGTGATATGCTCGCTGATTTTGAGACCTCACTCGCCATCACGAGTGCGGGTATTGACGATGTCCTTGAGAGTTGTATTTTTCTAGGTGAGCAGGCATCGCAGGAGCTGCAGTTGGAGGAGCAGCTAGCCGCTCTGGAGAGTGGCGAGTTTCAGGAGGGTGCCAAGCAGTTCAAGCCGATCTCATCCTCTCCTCGCATCACGACCTCTTTGGAGGAACCACCAGAGCTGGAGCTAAAGCCCCTCCCTCCTCACTTGGAGTATGCATTTCTCCGGGAGGGGAACAAGCTTCCAGTCATTATTAGCTCGACCCTCACACCCGAGCAGAAGGCCAGGCTGGTGGCCTTGTTGAAGCAGTACAAGCGAGCGCTGGCATGGAAAATCACTGATATCTGAGGGATCAGCCCCTCATTCTGTTCCCATCGGATATTGCTAGAGGATGAGATGCGACCAGTGAGATAGCCCCAGCGGAGACTGACCCAGGTGGTGCCTAAGAAGGGCAGGATGACCAAGGTACCCAATGAGAAGAATGAGCTTATACCGATGCGCATAGTGACCGGGTACCGCGTCTGCATCGACTACCGTCGCCTCAACGACGCCACCCGGAAGGATCATTTCCCGCTGCCTTTCATTGATCAGATGCTGGAGAGGTTGGCGGGGCACGAGTACTACTGTTTCCTGGATGGGATGTCTGGGTATTTCCAGATCCCCATTGCACCGGAAGACCAGGCGAAGACCACCTTCAATTGTCCTTTTGGCACATTCGCCTAGCGGAGGATCCCATTCGGGCTATGCAATGCCCCGGCCAAATTTTAGCGCTGCATGCTGGCCATCATCGACCGACTGGTCAGAGAAATCATGGAGGTATTTATGGATGACTTTTCAGTTTATGGGGACTCATTCTCTCACTGTCCCCATAACCTGGAACTCGTCCTAAAACGGCGTGAGGAGACGAACTTGGCGCTGAGTTGGGAGAAGTGCTACTTCATGGTTCGTGAAGACATAGTTCTGGGGCACAAGATCTCCAAGATGGGGATAGAGGCAGGCAGAGCCAAGATCGAGACAATCAGCAAGTTGCCTCCTCCCACATCTGTCAAGGGGATCCACAGTTTCTTGGGCCATGCGGGGTTCTACAGGAGATTCATTAAAGACTTCTCCAATATCGCCTTGCCCCTGATGAAGGATGCTCCCTTCCAGTTCACTGACGCGTGCACCGCTGCATTCACGACCCTGAAGGAGAAGCTCACTCATGCTCCCATCATGGTCACTCGTGACTGGTCTTTACCGTTCGAGCTGATGTGTGACGCCAGTGACTTTGATGTTGGAGCTGTTCTGGGGTAGAGGTGAGATCAACACTTCCGTCTTATCTACTACTCCTCGAAGACCTTTAGCGATGCCCAAGAGAACTACACCACCACGGAGAAGGAGCTGCTAGCGGTGGTGTTTGCTTTTGATAAGTTCCGTCCTTGCTATTCTTATAATTATAATAAATAAATATTAAAATTAACGAATATTAACGATCTCTTCATGCTTTTAATATAAGATTCTTGAAAAGTAAGCACTTCCACCTTCCCTTTCCACGAACTAGTTTAAGTCAAGTTTCACAAGTATTATTGGGGATTAAATGTTGTTGAATTTTTAACTATGATGGATTTAAGTTGATGTTATGTGATGGATTTAAGTGTTTGTTAAATTTTTACTATGTTGAATTTAAGTTAATGTTATTTAAGTGTGTTGGAGTTTAAGTAGTGTTGTATTTTTTATGTTGGAGCGGCGACTTTGAGGCGATCGGAGACCTAGGGCAAACCTAATGGCGACTATGGCGGTGTCTCCGCCAAAGGCTGGCAAGGACAAGCCGCCGAATACCTTAAGCGGATCTCGGAGACCCCCAGACGCGTCTTCATCCCCAAATAGCAAGCGGGACAAAGAAACAGTCCAAGAAAAAAAGCGCCCTCGGGCACTGAACATGAATACCGAAGAGGTAGTAATCGAGGACATAATGGAAGAGGATATGGAAGTTGATGATGAATCAGGATGCGCAGATGCAGGGAAGCAACCAGGCACAGGTCGAGCTTGGACACCGGACGCACGAAGGCTTTTTAGTGAGGTGCTAAAGAAGGATGAATGGTATATAGCAGATTCTGATTCGGAGGATGTTGCGATGACGGAGAAGGAAGAAGATGAATTTGTTGAAGAGTTGGAGGACGACCCAACGTGCCCTTCGGTGTTGTTTACAGCAGCTGAGAAAATTAAATGGCGAAGAGAATGGCGATCAGCCCTGGTTGTGCATGGACTAGGCCGGAGGGTTTTTTATCAACCGCTCTCACGTAGACTAAATTTTCTATGGGCAAGGAGAGGCGAATTACAAATATAGGACTTAAAGAATTGATGTTTTCTAGTGAGGTTTCGACACGAAGATGATTACAATACGGCTATCAATGGTGGTCCGTGGTTGCTGGGGGATACATACCTCACAGTTATGAAGTGGTACAAGGGGTTCAATCCATGGACGACGGAGGTAAAGTCTACCATGGTATGGGTTCAGCTCCCAGATTCGCCTATCGAATTTATTAATAAAGAAGCAGCGATGAGGATCGGATCCACGATTGGAAAGACGGTCAAGGTGGATAGAGCCACGGAAGAGGGAGCACGTGGAAATTTTGCTAGGGTTTGCGTTGAGGTGGACTTGACCAAGCCATTATTGTCAAAATATAAAGTGGAAGGGATTAAATACTTAATCCAATATGAAGGGCTTGAGAATATATGTACTGAGTGCGGCAAGTACGGAAAACCGACGAATCAGTGCACGTGCATGACCCCGTTCGTGGAACAGGAACAAGCGCCAGTATCTATGGTCCCTAAAACTCCTCCGGACAGGGGTGGGGTAGATGGTCAACATGACCCGGTTTATGGGGATTGGATGATGGTTAAAAGAAAAGCAAGACGTCCGACGCGACGTAGCATGCATGGGGTGGGGATTTTGGAATAGGAGCGTTACTTGGGTGCTACTGTTGTTGGTCCAAACCGCTTCTCAACCCTCAGTGGGAAAGTAAATGAGACTTTGGGCAGGCCTAGTGAGAATGAGATGATCCAGTCGAAGGAAGAGGCTAGTGGAGAAGAGGAGTGGGAAGTCAATCGCCAGAACGTAACAAAGAAAAATTCAGTACAGGAGGGCAGGGGGAAAGCTGCTGGAGGGCATGATCAGGTAGGAGGGCAAGGTAGGGCACCTCAAAGTAAACAAAATGATGGAGCAGGGGGGGACAAAGGGTGGAGTAAAAACCAAAGAGGGCAGTAAAAAAGTGAGTTTGATGGGGATGGAAAAGAAGGGGCAGTCGAGTGGAGTAGCAATAAAGGAGCGTGGAAGGAAAGAAGGAGTAGTAGGTAGCAATTCACAAAAACATACTGAGGGTGCGGGGAACCTATCCCCTTTGGGTATTAGATGAGAATACTCAGCCATAACTGCCGTGGCTTGGGGAATACACGGTCAGTTAGAGCTTTAAAGTCGCTTCTGCGGCAAACTTCCCCGAGTGTGGTGTTTTTAATGGAAACACGTCAGTTAGAAGATGAGAATGAGATAACTAGAGAGAGCTTGGGCTATAAGAAAGGCAAGAGCTGGCCAACAGATACCTCTAATGGAGGTCGGGCGGGTGGACTCTGTCTATGGTGGAAGAATAACAGTGATGGATGGATCCCTCCATTTTCTGGATGCGCGGATTGAGGAAGGGCGAGACATGGTGTGGCGCTTTACCGGGATTTATGGTTGGTGAGAAGCGAGAGATAAGTTTCAGACATGGGACTTATTACGTCGGCTAGCAAACCAATGGGCATGACCCTGGCTATGGGGCAGTGATTTTAATCAAATTCTGACCTCGAATGAAAAAAGGGGCGGCAACGAGGCAAATGAAGGTGAGATGGATGAGTTTGGGGAATGCCTAATGGATACAGGGTTGAATGATCTAGGTTTTGAAGGATATGCCTATACCTGGGAAAACCGTCGAGGAATGGGGGCGTACATAGAGGAGAGGCTCGATCATTTCGTGACGAATGATGGCTGGACGGAACTCTTCGAAAATGCTCGAGTACTGAATGGGGAGCCAGTAAGATTGGATCACCGACCCGTTATGTGTGACAGCCTTGGTGAAGCAGATGAGGAAGTGAAGTGGGGCTGGTCTTTTCGCTTTGAGGCTCATTGGGGAAAACATGGTGACTGCCTGCGCGTTGTAGAAGAGGCTTGGAATGCATCGGGTGGTAGTGTGTTCACAATAATAGAACAAGTACGTAACAAGCTGTTGGATTGGAGTCGGGCCACGTTCCCAAACTTTGGGAAGCAGAAGAGACGAATCTGAAAAGCGCTTCAAGGGCTCGATAGAACCCCCAAGACAGAGCTGGTCTTGCAGCAACAACGACAACTGCAGTTAGAACTGGAGGAGGTGGAATGTGATGAAGAGTTGTTCTGGAAACAAAGGTCTCGGGCGGATTGGCTACGAGGCGGGGATAAAAATACAAATTTTTTCCACAAAAAAGCCTCTGCTCGACGTAAGCGAAATACAATAAAAAAAATTAAAAGATGAGGAAGGGAGATGGTATAGAGGTACAGAGGATGTATTCTCCTGTTTGCTTGATTACTTTGGGGCTCTCTTCACGACAGGTGATAGACCGATACATACCCCAGTTCTTGATTCGGTGGGGGCTCGTATTACTTCAGAGATGAACCAGCAATTGACCCGGCCATTTACGAGGGAAGAAATCTTTGGAGCGTTGAGCCAGATGGGGACGAGGAAAGCTCCCGGGGAAGATGGGCTTTCGGTCTTGTTCTTTGTTAAATTATGGCATATAGTGGGGGACGCCATAACTGCGTTGATCATGGAAATTTTTGAGAGTGAAAGCCTGCCGCCGAACCTCAATCATACTTTGATAGCTTTAATTCCGAAAGTCAAGGACCAGTAGATGGCCAAGGAATTTAGACAAATCAGTTTATGCAACGTCCTTTACAAGATCATTGCTAAAACAATAGCTAACCGGTTGAAGGTGTTCTTGGATAGTATTATTTCACCGCAACAGAGTGCTTTTGTGCCGGGTCGATTCATTGCTAATAATATCATGACAGCGTTTGAGTGTTCCCACACTATGAAGATTAAACTGAAGAACAAGAAAGGTTTTTTTGCGGCAAAACCAATATGGCGAAGGCGTACGACAGAGTTGAATGGTGGTTTCTTGAAGGGATAATGAGGAAGATGGGTTTTTAAGAGATGGATTCGATTGGTGATTATGTGTGTTACGACGGTCTCTTATTCCGTTCTTGTGAATGGACACCGATCGCCAGTGTTCTCTCCGAGCCGAGGACTCCGACAGGGAGACCCCCTATCACCGTATTTGTTCTTGCTGGTGGCAGAAGGGCTCTCCTCTTATACTACGAGGGCTGTCCAGGAGAAAAAATTACATGGGATACAGGTGGCCAGGGGTGCCCCGACCATCTCCCACCTGTTTTTTGCTGATGACTCTATCTTTTTGCCAAGGCTACCCTAAATGAAAGCATGGAGTTGAAGAGAATACTGAAGGCGTATGAGAAGGAATCTGGGCACCTGATTAATTTCGAGAAATCGGAGGTGTCCTTTGGGGCAAGCATCAAAACACATCAAAAGCTGCAGGTGGGTTCAGCACTAGGAATGAAGATAGTAGAAAAACATGACAAGTATCCCCGAGGGGGTCATTGATGACATCCACAGTATTATTATGCGGTTTTGGTGGGGCCAACAGGGAAATGAAAAGAGAATACGTGGATAGCAAGGGAGAAACTGCTCGCCACGAAGTCAACTGGAGGAATGGGGTTTCGAGATTTGAGAGGCATGAATCTAGCTTTCCTTGCTCGGCAACTGTGGCATCTCCATCAAAGGCCACAATCCCTAATCGCACAGGTATTGAAGGCCAAGTACCACAAGCATGTCGAGATTTTGGAAGCAAAGGTGGGGCCACGACTGAGTTTTGTATGGCGGAGTCTCATGAGCGCACAAGAATGGTTGTGTAGTGGGCTGAGATGGCGAATAGGGAACGGGGACAAGGTGCGGATATGGGGTGATCGTTGGGTCCCATCTGTGCCAGGCTTCTTTGTCCAATCTGCACCGATGGGGCTACCGGTGGACTCGAAGGTTAGTGAACTTATTGACCCACAGACTGAGCAGTGGGATTCAACATTAATTGAAAGCTGCTTCCCGATAGCGATGGCTCAAGCCATTTTGCAAATCCCATTGCGAAGGATGGACGAGGCCGATAAGCTCATATGGGCTGAGAGTTCGAACGGCGAATATGAGGTGAGAGATGGGTAACGAAGGTGGCTGGAAAAGTTTAACAGGACACATGACTACCAACCGGTAGGGGAGGCTAGAGTGTGGAACAATATTTGGAAGATGAATGTACCCCCCAAGGTAAGGCATTTTATGTGGCGGTTTGCGCGTAATTCTTTGGCAACAGGCGATACAATTAGCGCAAAAAGCGAAAGAAGAGGTGACGCATGTCCATTTTGCAACTTGAGAGAGACACAAGTCCACCTGTTCGGGGAATGTGGCTGGTCGGGAAGGATATGGAGGAATTCCAACCTGTCCTAGTGGTTTTGAGCTGAGGGAAGATGGAGACTGTCTGATCTGGACCCGAAATGTGTTGGACAAAGCCACCCCGACAGAGTTTGAAGATTGGGCGGTACTTTTATGGTCTTTATCGAAGGAGCGCAACGCTCATCTGTTTAATGGAATGAAAGTGCCAGAGGAGGAGATCCTTATGCGAGCTGCTACCTATGCTGATGAGTATCGCCAATATCAAGCAGACGAAACCACGCCCCCAGCTCAGGAAGTGCCGCAACAATGGATGCGACCGGAGGCGGGACGAATTAAGGTTAATACGGATGTGGGCATTGATGCGGAAGGAATGGGTTTTGGTGTTGTCATTAGAGATGCGGAGGGGAGGTATTTACTGGCAGCAGCTAAACGTATAAGAGGAGGGAATAACCCAGAGCTGGGTGAGGTTCTAGCGGCGGAGATGGGCATACAGATTGCAGCTCAACATGAGCTGGGAGTACCTACCCTCGAAGTAGACTGCATGAATCTTGTGAAGAGTCTTAATGCGGCGCACGAAATTCAAACTGAAGTGGGAGTAGTGTGTCGCAAGATTAGGAAGCTTTTGCTGGAGGCACGAGGAGGGGATTGGAAGTATGCTAGTCGAAAGGCAAATGAAGCAGCACATGTTATGGCTCATACGAGAACTAGTTGTGATGAGATTGTTATATGGTTTGATAGACCACCTGTTTTTCTGCTTGATCAGCTGCAGCTGGATGATGTAAAAGTTCTAGTTGATTAATAAAGTTTTGCGTAGATTTCCATATAAAAAAAGAATTTAAGTTAATGTTATTTAAGTATATTGAAGTTTAAATAGTGTTGTATTTTTTATGTTGAATTCAAGATAAGTACAATATAATAACTCTTTTTATATTTTTTTTTCCCGCTAAAATGAACTAACCAATTAATCATTGACCCACTAGTTTGACAGGTTCCGGGTCGATCCGCTATTGACAACGTACTCTCCGTTCACTTACTAATAATTGTTTTTGGTTTTTGTTTTCGTCGGCTGTGATAATTTTGCCTCGGTTAGTTCGTTGGGTGGGGTGGCAAAATAGTAAATGCAGAGATACACGTGGGCGTTTCGCAAGGTTTTCAGTGGAAGGCCGTGGGCCCGTAGCCTTGTCTTTCCCCCCTGCGCCTCCGTCCACCCACCATTTTTGCAGTTCGCCACCCTCTTCCCTGAAGACTAAAGCCCCTTCATTCCTTCTAAAGTCAGTAGTGTCCGTCTCTTGCGTTTATAATAGGAAAACTCCTCACTCCTCTGTCTCAGCTCTCCTCAGAAATCCCCAATCCGAACCCACGTTACGCCAACAAAACGCCTTCCTCTCCGCCCAACAAACACCACACTGCTGCGAACCAGACAACTGGCATCGGCCGCCCGCCCACCCAGCTCTCAAAGCTTCAACAATGGCTCTCAAGCTCAACCCAGTCACCTTCCCTTCCACCCGCTCCCTCAACATCACCTTCTCTCCCTCCCGCCATCCCAGATCTCCTCGCACCCTTCTCGTGGCCTCCACTTCCACCAAGTAAGCTTCCTTCTTCTCTCTTCCTCTCATTCTTTCCTTTTCTTCTCCGTCTCTGTTTCGCGATTGCTCTGGATCCTCCGCAAACTTTATCGCAGGGATTCATTGATTCCCGGCTATCAAAACCTTCTCTGTTCATCTAATTTCATTTGTCTCTTTGCTATGGTTGGTTTTGATTGATATGTGACTCAGCTTTTGTTCTATGTCTCGATTGAATTTGTTTCTCTTTATCCAATTGACTCCTTTCCCCTAAACAACTTTTGCATCTCAATGGGTCTGGAATATTGCGCACTAATGGATTCAGTTTCCGTGGACCCTCACTTGTGGAAGTCATCCCACTGTCTTCCTCTTCTTCGTCCATTGAAATGCATGTGTTTAGTTGATTCTCGGCGTCGCCATAGCTCCTCCGTCTGTGATGTGTTCTTTTCCCCCCCTCTCCCCTCTCTTAATCTCGAACAACTGTGTAAGTGTCTGCCTCTTCCTATGTGCTTCGTGATTGGGGTTTGCATTACTCTCGTCTCTCTTTTCGCAGCAAGATAAGAAGATCTGCAAGAGACATCAGCTATGTGTGGCTTGCAGCCCTTTGTCATCTAAGCATTGTCAGTATTGTTTATCTTATTTGGGGTGGGCTGGGGGTGTTCCATTACCATATGCAATGCAACTCTGTGGTTGAGAGTTGTGAAGGGTTAACTTTTCTGCCTGGGTCGGCTACTCCAGTTGGTTGACGACTGGTAGTGTAATGCTTTCTTGTGGGTGTTCCCTATCATCTTTGTCCTCTTCTCTCATCCACCTGCTTTGGCAGGAAATAATGGCCAGCTGTTTTTTTGACTTTTGTTTCTTAAAACGTTTCATCTAGGAATTAACGATGCTCCCTCCAGACCTGTGCATCCCCCACTTGTGTCTACATTTGTAAAATATTCTACGGCATATTTATGGCCACCTCCTTCTCCGGGGAATAATCAAGTTTCTCGGCGCCTTTACTTCGAATGCGGTCCAACTTTATTGTTCCGAACTATGATTGCTCAGTTCAACTAGTGTTTTAGAATCTGATAGCAAATCAATTATACTTAGATGCCCATGCGGTGGTTCGTTTTCCTTTGCGCTACTTGGCCAGAATTTTTCAGATCACCCATATCAATGGGGGGCAATGTCAAGTTCTGCGTGATAGACTTGGATCTACTTCTTCACATCTTCTTGTCCCGATGATGTTTATTGCTTGATAGGTTTTGATGTTCTAGGGCAGTTACTTTCGCCACGAGATGCTCAATATAAGATTGTAACTTTATGTTGTCTTTGATTGGCCAGGGAGGCTCAGAAACTAAAGAAGTCGCATGGACCTCCCAAAGAGGTGCATGTCCAAGTCACGCATTCCATGCCCCCTCAAAAGCTGGAGATCTTCAAGTCCTTGGAAGGTTGGGCTGAGGACAATCTCTTGCTGCATCTAAAGCCCGTTGAGAAATGTTGGCAGCCACAAGATTTCCTGCCAGAACCCGAGTCAGATGGATTTTATGACCAAGTTAAGGAACTAAGGGAAAGAGCCAAGGAACTCCCTGATGACTATTTTGTTGTGCTGGTTGGAGATATGATCACTGAAGAAGCCCTACCAACTTACCAGACAATGCTTAACACCCTTGATGGCGTTAGGGATGAAACTGGGGCCAGCCTTACATCATGGGCGATCTGGACTCGCGCATGGACTGCTGAGGAGAACCGGCACGGTGATCTCCTCAACAAGTATCTCTACCTTTCCGGAAGAGTGGACATGAAGCAGATTGAGAAGACAATTCAGTATCTGATTGGATCTGGAATGGTACGTGATTACACATACTGCTTGTTTCTCATCCCCTTTGTTCACTATACGCTTTCCATTGACATATTTTCAGCTAAAAGAGTAGACAAACTTTACTATGCTGATAGATGAATGCTACAACTTTCTTCTGATTACATTACTTCTGTTGTGGTTCAATGCATAACCTTCTTCTAATTGAGGTTATTCTGGATTAGCGTTATCTGTCAATTGGTTTTTTCTGTTGAAGGTTTTGACTGTTACCAAGTGTGGCAATAGCATGTCCGTAATTTGCCATGTGTTGTATTTGGCACCACTAGAATCTTGTTTATTGTCTACCAACTGCGGACATCCTACTTGGCCCAGGAAACATTTAGTTCCTTTTTTATGTGATGTGGGAGTAGTTGTTAGTTGCGACTGTATCCAATTGAAAGCAGACTGTATCCAATTAAAAGGAGACAGATCACACGACTGATTGTAATTGCAAGAAAGCAAGGATTAGAAGTTTATGTGATGTTACATGTTGTCTTGTCAGGGAGTTGTCTAATTCTTTTCCTCCCCCCTTTTCCTGCTAATTAAGGGGCATATGCAATCCATGTGGATATGGTGTCTTGGCTTAGATGATAATATATCTTGACTTGTAATTATATGTGGTCTTTCAGTGTTTATGACTAGTAAATTGACCTTCTCCTTTCATGTCTAACCTTGTAGGATCCAAAAACAGAAAACAATCCCTACCTTGGTTTCATATACACTTCATTCCAAGAGAGGGCAACGTTTATCTCACATGGGAATACGGCAAGACTAGCCAAGGAACATGGAGACATGAAGCTGGCACAGATATGTGGAATTATCGCAGCAGATGAGAAACGCCATGAAACTGCTTACACCAAGATTGTGGAGAAGCTGTTTGAGATTGATCCGGATGGCACAGTGTTGGCACTGGCAGACATGATGAGAAAAAAGATATCCATGCCTGCCCACTTGATGTTTGATGGCCAGGATGACAATCTTTTTGAGAATTACTCCTCTGTGGCACAGCGTATTGGGGTGTACACGGCGAAGGACTATGCAGATATCCTCGAGTTCCTGGTTGGGAGGTGGAAAGTGGAGACGTTGACAGGTCTTTCTGCGGAAGGAAACAGGGCCCAGGAGTTTGTTTGTGGGCTTCCAGCAAGGATTCGAAGGCTGGAAGAGAGAGCTGCTGGGAGGGCGAAGCAACCATCCTCCCCTGTTCCTTTCAGCTGGATTTTCGGCAGAGAACTTGTGCTGTAAGCGAAAGAGACTGAGAAATGGAATGAAATGAACGTAGTGTGAAGCAGGCCAGGTGATGGATGCCTAGTACTGCTGCAGTCGTTTGATAGGAAAGAAGAAATGATCCAGCTTAAATGCCTTACCTGTTTTTGTTTCCTTTTCCTCTCAAGTTTCTTACCTTTTCCCTCTTAATCTGCTATAAGTTCCATTTCAATGTATCTTTGCTCGTCTGACTGTTCTGTAGATGCTGCTCTCCTATCAAACCTATGCTTGCTCTTCAGATCTGATGGTGGAAGATCAAGTCAGTTTGACGTATGCAGCTATAGTTTTTGTTTGTTCTTTCATGTGTTGTCTTTATGATGTCTTCTATTTTCACCTCTTTAGAATTTAGATACCAAAAAGGGGAATGTAGGGTACCTGGTTTTCTTCCGTTCTCTGTTCCTTCATTGAAAGTAAGAAGGAATAAGTTTCCAGTGTAGCTGTTGTTCCTTCCCTTTTGCTGTGATGGTCTTACGAATTTGGTACCTGATTTTTACCCGTTCTGATGGAAGACGCACCTCTTGCACGTCTCCGAATTTTTGTTTCCTTGTGTCTTTCAGGGTTCGCCATTGCTTGCGTTGTGCCTTTTGTGGGGGTCGTTGTGCTACACACACGAGTGAGCCTTGTTTGCATAATTTGATATTGTTCGGGGATTTTCTAATGGTGTTAATTGGTCCCGTGTCGGTTAAATACTAACCAATATGGTGGTTAGTGGTTAACCAATTTGCAAAATACTCATCGATAATCGAACCGATAAGGCTTATCAATTAACCGTCCCTTATCGGTTCGGTTAGCGGTTAATCAATAACGGATAACATACGTTCCAACAAATATAAATATACCTAATCAAACCAAATATAAAATCAATAACTTCTATTATCTTCCACAAAATATAATAAAGTGAAGCAATAATTACGTGTAATACTCATCATCCAATTAACTTTAACACTTGTCATTTAACAAGTGCCATTTAATATTAACCACTTGTGAGACAATTTAACTATACTTGTACATTAGTAACACAAAACACTAATGATAAGAAATAACATCAATACATATCCATCATAATTTTATAATTTAAATTCCAACATATAAAGTGATAATAATCAAACATCTTCGTCTAATTAGTGAATACCAACTACCCAGATATCAAACATAAGAACCACAAGATCATCATCATCATCTACAAATATATAAAAGACAAAGACTACTAGGGTGCGACGTTCGCTGTGTCGACTGTAAAAGGGTGTTAGAGAGATGACTTTTGGGTTTTGAATCTTAAACACAATTAAGACTTAGGGTGGATGGTTGTTTGCAATAAGTGTAAATTGGGATGTCTGAAATTGCACTTGGTTGATTTTAAACCTATGAACTTTTTCTTTTCGCCAAAAACCAAAACTCTATGATTATACTAGTAGGCGGTTATCGGGTTTGTTATCGATTAACCAAATGATTAGCGATTAACCCAGGGCCGACTTTGGGCATGTGTTCGGGTGCCTCAAAATTTCTGGGGCCTCCAATCCATAGTCCATACTTAAATAGTTACTACATAGGCTATGCCATATGTGGGCTTACCTTGAGACCCACGTAGTGGGAGTCACTTCCCTGCTCGAGCGACACACCAACTTGCTGGAGCAGATAGCTCGTCGCCAGGGCCTTCTCCCAGATGATGAGCCGGGACCTTCGACCCATGATGAGGTAGAAGACGAGTGAGACATGTGGCAGAGCTGATTCCTTTCGTCTCACTTCTCCACTTGGAACTCTGAACTCTTCTATCTTTTATTTTGTTTTTCTTTCTTATATTGTGTGTGTGTGTGAACAACTACTAACACTATCGTATTGTTATGTGTAATAACCTCGCCTTGAGCGAGTATGTGTTTGTGTTTGCTCTTGTCTTCTCCTTGAAGCTCCAATCTCCTACCCCGGATAAAAAAATTACAATTTTCACTCACCAAGCCATGCAGTAACATCGTTCTACCCCTATCTTACACCATTGAGGGCAATGTCGAGCTTAAGTGTGTGTGTGTGTGGGGGGGGGGGGATATTTTTTTATTATGCTTGTGTGAGTGTGATTGAATGCTTGGACCCTTGATGTATGACCAAATTTGAAAAATTTGAGGGCTCTAAGCAATGTTTGCATGATCTAAGTGGCTGGTTTGTGGGAGATTCTCGTGTTTATTGGCATTGACCTTGAATTGTAGCATGTGATCGAGTGTGTCCTATGATGATGACTGAGAGGTGCATTAGGATAGTGCAAAGGTTTAGTTCTCATGTATGCAAAAATGAATGGATGTCTGGACTCAATTACTTGTTGATTACAATTGCCATGCATTGTGTTTTGTGAATTGGAGTAGATGGTTGGGTAACTAGGTACCCATGTGAGTTTTGAGCCGATCGTTTTCTTTTTGTATGTGCTTAGATCCCTCTTACCATGGCGAGTAACATCACAGTTGTCACTAGTGAGTATGATGGAGGCATAGGATTAGTCCACGCCCAAATGTTGATTGTCCCAAAATATTTTATTCCTAGTCAACCTCTTTGAGCCTTGTGACTTTGGGGGTCGTTCTCTTTGTAGGAGCTTTTTGCTCGTAAGCTTATTGGTGTTTGATAGAACGACACCCCATCCTTTCTTCATGTCTATACATGAGTCATCCTTGTATCCCGGAGCTCGTGCTTAGGACCTCCATTGAGGTTCTACATAGGAGGATTTGGTGCGCTTCTTGCTAGGAATGAAGGAGAAAAGAGTAGTGTTGGAGTAAGTTCTTAAAAGAGAGAATTGGTTGTTAAATGTAATGTGACAAGTGTTTTACTCTCTAGTACCCCGTCAAAAGAAAAGAAAAGAGAAAAAGAATTGAAAAAGAGGTAATATAGCGGGGTAAATAAAGTAGAGAGTGCCGCAAAAATCAAAGTGTAAGCTCTAGGAGGGGTTTCTTGGCACTCAAGCCATTGAAACATCCACGTTGTTGTTGAACTCCTTCACTACTATGTTCGAAATGTGATAGCAAGAGTAGGTCGAGGAAGTGTGCTTGAATGTGGTTCGTGATGGGTGAAATTTTGGAAGGGAGAAGTAAGGTTTTTGGCTGACGCTGGTGGCCATTGTTTGTAGGGAAGGTTCTTAGTCGAAGCCATAGAACCTTCGGTTTTAAGGTGAAGATGTAGGACCACATGTTGTGTTTGCCACCACCCAAAAAGCCTTTTCCCCATGTCCAAGACAATTGCCAGTCATTTGAACCCGTGTCTAAGAATTTAGAAGTTGCTGCCATGGTGAAAAGACGTTAGGGCCGAGAGTTGATGATTGTGCACATTTTTTGCACCAAATGGTCTCGATCCCACTAGTCAAGAGAGTGAGTGATCCATTCTTGCTTTGCATGTCATATCATACCCTGGTGAGGACCTTTGTTGCCCATTCGTTCATTCCTTGGACTTGAATGTTATGCATGGTTAGTTTTGGTTGATGAGTGATCTTGTTGAGACTTGCATTGATTCATGAACAAGGTGAGAACTTTTCGTTTGCCCGTTTTTTGTGGTCTCGAATGTCGTTTGTGGTTGATGTCGGTATCGCTTGCAACGTTCCATGTGTTAATTGCCCATAGACATTGAGATTCGCCACTTTGTGTCCTTTGATTTTCCCCAATTTATTTTGTTAGATTAAGATATTACCTTGTGTGAAATGGTTTGCTTGGGGACAAGCAAACGTCTAAGTGTGGGGGAGTGATATGGGCCTAAATGTACACTTTTTATCGCCGTTTCTCTTTGGCGTTTGTGGCATTTGAGTTCCAAAAAGGGTGGTTTTATGCTAGGTTTGTTGTGTTTCAATGTGTTTCAGAGTGTAACAGGTGTAACCAACCCCAGAGTCGAAAGTTGGAAGAAATGGCGCGAGGACTGGGCAAAGTGGAGGAAATAGCCGATGTTCACGGTTCAAGCTGCGAGTTCACGGTCTCCAGAACCGTGAACTGAAGCCACGAATCACAAACTGAAGGGAATCAAAGAGGTTTCAGAAGTTACTGAAGCCGAGTCAGTTCACGGTCGTAAGATCGTGAACTGAAGCCATGGACCGCAAACTCAACAAATGAAAGTAGTGCATTTTGGGTGTGTTCACGTTCCAGGCCAGATGTTCACGGTCGTGAACTGGGACCGCGACTGAGCTCGATAAGTGTATGAAAGGAGAGATGGAAGGAAGAAGAAGGGGAGGAGCCCAAAGTGAGAGAAACCTTCTTCTTCTTGAAACCCTATAGATAGAAAGTCACGAACCAAGAGGGAGAAAAAGCTAGGGTTTGCTGCAAGTCAAGAATTGGGAAGTTCCTCTTCAAGGGAGGATCTCTACAAGCACAAGGAAGGATCGAGGCATCACAATGATGGTTTTTTCCTTTTTCCTTTGTGTTCTTCCTTCTTGTAGCATGGAGTAGTCTCCTATTCACTTGGGTGTTTTAGAACCCTAACTTCTACCATGTAGTTGATTGTGTGTGGGTGATGTTTAATTTAAAGTTTTGTGGTATTGCTCATGATGATTGTGCATTTTGTGTGCTTGGCAATATTTTTTGCTACTCTAAACTAGCTTAGAGAGAAGCCCCCTTTCCTTAAGAGGCTCAAATTGAGCTGGGTTTTCTTAAGCATTCCATGCCTCCTAACTAGGTTAATGTAGGGCAAACCTCCAAACTCAAATCGAACACCTAGGTTGATTATGATTAAGCCGTCCAAATCCCGGTTTGAGGGAGAAGGTAAGTCAACCCTCAATTTCTTGGGCCAAGAGGGATACAATTGTAGCCTATAATGCATTCCTTGGCCTAGCAATTGAGAGTGTGGTTGCCAACCACTGTTACTCCTCCAACGGTTTGCAATCACCTTGTCGCACACCAATGCATTCGATCCCACAGTACATGGTAGTTAGTTAGGGGGAAACAACTTCCGAGTGAAGCTTCTCACCAAGAGTTTCAACCCTTTTAATTTTTAAGCCTTTCACTTTCATTCGTAGATTGTAGAGA